AAAACTAATTATTATTGCATAATCAACTCTTTACCCTAAATATTTTATATCACATTAAAGTATCTAATTCTACATCATTTATACTAGTTTGTTTAAAGTTTAGATAGATAGATAACTATAGATAAATCTTAGTTCATTCGTATCTTGATTTTATTCAACCGTGGTTATTGTTCTACTTTTAACGATGATTCTAAAATTGTCATTGATTTCTCTAATTTATAATGGTATGCTGAATCTAAATGAGTCTAAAACCATCATTATAAGCCTATTTTAAGTGCAGTGGAAAGGGTTAATTTGTGTTAATTTTTATATCAATATAGTGATATTATATTATGCAGAGAAGATCAATTTAATTAGTGTAATATCTAATTGCACCAAAACTTAATTAGTAGTATGTTAATTTTATAGATGAATTCAAGAAAATATTGTCTTAAATAAGCAAAATGAACAATATTTTGTTTTTCTGTGACTCTAATGATGAAATTTGGTGCAATGATACGTTGAAGAGTGAGTGATGAATTGATGATTTGTTGGCCACTCATGCATGCAATGGTGGAATGCCTACACCAACTATAATGCCAAATGACGTGTTATGCAAGTCCATAATAATTCCATTATTAATTGATTAACCTAAAAAAATCAGAGGTGGTATATGAGTAAGATAACAATCCTAAAGTCTTTCATTTGTTTAATAATAGACCTTGTTTATATTAATTGTTTCATCCCAAATTTATTTATTACATTAGAGTTAATCTCTATACATTTGAGGTCTTATTTATTTATTTATTTTGGAGTGTAATTTTTTTTTATAATTTTATTTTTAGAAGACGTCTTTAACTATGAAAAGAAAATAATATATCTGATTCCTAAACGATGTGAGAGTATTAGACGTAGTAAAAGTATTAATAAAGTTTAAACCTCTTAATCATAACACTTGTAAAATGATCTTCTGGTCTTAATCACGGTGAAACTAATAGTTAATTACGTAGCTATATCTATAACCACTTATAAATTCTACATAGGAATTATTGTAACGTCACAACTACCCCTTTGTTTTTATCATACATTAAAATTTACTTAAACAAAATTGTTTTTGGAAAGTCACTTAAACAAAGGTATACGATAACATCTTAAATTAATGCATTAGTTGAAATGGAAGGACTAATCCTTAAGTAGCCTTCAGTTAATTAATTTTTTAGAGATTTGTGACTCATTTTATGGTGTATTACACCATTCAATGATTTAAATCACGTTTTTATAAATTAATGACTGATAAATAATTATTTCAGGTCGATTTGTATATATTAATAACATGATAATATATATATATATATATATATATATTTTGTTTTTTTTTGAAGTGGGAAAGCATATGGTTTTTATTTATTTATTATTGAAAAATATATTGTAAGAGCCTAAAAAAGTCATGTTT